TTTTCCCTCGTGTGTGCGCATGCGCCCCGCTCTGGTGCCCCCCCCCACGTGCCAGGGCGGGTGCAGCTGCGCACTGCGGCAGGAGGGGGGTGTTGGGTGTGCAAGCACAGGAAGGGAAACCGAGGCAGAGAGGTCACGTGTCCCAGAGCGTTTGCCAAGAGGATGCAGGAGTCTTTGAGACATGAGAGCCCATAAAAACCTCACAGGTTTATTGTGCGCATGCGCCCCGCTCTGGTGCCCCCCCCCACGTGCCAGGGCGGGTGCAGCTGCGCACTGCGGCAGGAGGGGGGTGTTGGGTGTGCAAGCACAGGAAGGGAAACCGAGGCAGAGAGGTCACGTGTCCCAGAGCGTTTGCCAAGAGGATGCAGGAGTCTTTGAGACATGAGAGCCCATAAAAACCTCACAGGTTTATACGCACGTTGCTAGGTCACACCCCAGCTGGGTGCTGGAATATTTTCATACTACACTTTTTGGCCTTCGATAGCATTTTGGCTGCTTGACGGACTTTTCCACAGATTTTTGGACCAGGCTGTTAGCATGAAAAAGTGTTTGTGTGGCATCAAGTCTACTGTATTTACAAAAAAAAAAAAAAAAAAAAGGAGGAAAAAAAACCGCATCCAACATTAAAAACAAAACAGTGAGTGAAAATCTCCATGTTGAAATAGTTGCAGAGAACTGTTAGATTTATAGATGTTTCTCTTCCACCGGCTCACACACCAGTGTGTTATAGCATGTCCATCTGTATCATTTTGTATTCTTCATATCTTGGAAAATGATGCACAACTAGACAACTTGGAACTGTTACCAAAATATTAATCTGAGTGATATGGAAATTACGTTAAAAATGGCAAAAATTAGTTTCTGTTCCCACAACAAAATCTTTTTTATTTATCTGCAGAAATGTATTTTAAACCCTAAATTTACTGTAGCCTATATATGGTGCTGGACAATATTTCACATGTCTCCAAATTAAATAGGTCTGGGAAAATACTTCTCTTTAGTCACACCATGGCTGAGAATGGATTTTAACTGGATTTTATTATTGTACTTAGAAATACTGCACAGGATCTTTTCAGGGGGATAAGGCAAAATGCCACATTTAATGATAATACATATAGCAATCAACACTTACTGTATCTTTTCTCTCTAATTGCTACCCTGTGATCCTTCTCTGCTTCTTTTAAGTATCCAATCTTTAGGTGCTTATAGATTGCCAGTTCTGCCTATTTGGTTTTCCCTTTTATATTTTCATTCCCTCTGCTCCTTGTTTCCCACCCCCTTCCTCCCCCCCCCCCTCTTTCTCCCCTATTTATTTTGGGTCTGCACATCCTAAAGTCAAAACTCTGGTCATCTGAAGAAGTGGGCTGTGCCCACGAAAGCTCATGATCCCATCTACATGTTTTGTCTCTAAAGTGCTTCCAGACCATTTGCTGTTTTTTAAGTTTATCCTGTACAGACTAACTTAGCTACCTCCTGAAGCTACAGAAAGCAAGTAAAGGCCTTGGAAGGGAGATGAAATGTTCCCTTTTATTTCTGACAAACAAAACTTTTGCTGTAACTGGAAATTGAAGGCCCAAATTCCGTAATGGAGATACATCTCTGTATTAACTATAAATCTCTGTATTGGTCATTTTCATATAGGTGTGGATCATCTTCTGATAATCTCTGTATTAAGTTTTAACATTGCTATTAAAAAAGCTGCCCCTGTGTCTTGTGGAAGAGGGTGAAATGACGTCAGACTGAAAATAGAGCAATGTCTTCAGCAGGCACTTAGCTGACCCCTTTGTTGCTAAAGATGCGGCCAGGCCTGCTGGAGCCAGGCCACTGTGCAGCTGTCCTGGGACGGTGGCATCTCAGCCCTGGCTCCAGCTCTGGCACAGGAGGCAGCCACCTGCCATGCAGCCCCGCCCCAGGAGCAGCGCCAACTACCAGAGGTGGGAGAGCAGGGATGGTGCGAGTATTCAGAGAAAAAACCGACAGCACAAGTGGATCCCACAACAGGCAGCAGGGCCAAGGGGCAAAATCAGCCAGTGGAAGAGGGGAAACCCCAGGATGGGGAGAGGCAGAGGGGAGGGAAGTGACTGGTGGGGAGGGAAGAAAGTCCTCTACAGTGCTTGCAAAAATGAAGTGTGGGGGCAGGAATGGCGTGTTTGCCATTTCCAGGGTGGGGCACCCCAGGGCTCTGCTCCGAACGGCACAGTGTGCCCAGCTCTTCCCTGCCCGATAATGGGCTAGATGCTGTAGGATATTTTACATACAGCCCCTTCCACACGCTAACGGCCAGACCTGGTCTTAGGGTCCGCAGGAGTCCCCGATGGGTTTGTGTGTCTGCTTAAAACTGGAAAGGACTTTGCAGGTGTGTCCCCCCTGGGGGCTGTAGAAGTTTGGCCACTTGTCAATCCATTAGTGAATGTGCAGGGAGGTTAAAACCTTCCCTAATGGGCTTCTGTGTGCTGCTCCCTGGACAGTCAGTAATGGATTTAAAAGCAGCCATCCCTCTACAAAAGCATGTTATCACCTGGTTCCAGAGGGAGACAGCTGAATCGGATTTGGATGACAAGTTCGGTATTATCGCATTGACTCAGGTGTGATGTTAAACAACATTATTAACAATATGACCGTTGGGGAGCCAGTGGTGTTACTCTGCTGTCATGGGCAAGGCTCGACAACTAAGGCAACCTACTCACCTGTGGTAAGCAGATTTTAGCCCGACGCGGCCACGCAGCGCGGTCAGTGCATGCACGGCATGGTCTGCGCATGCACCATATGTGTAGCTGTGATGGAAGAGCAGCGAAAGCGTTTCAGACTAAAGGAATTAACGGGGTTTTTTCCCCCTATTTCCCCCTGTTCCATTCCCTTATGAAGGGCTTGTGTCCATGATATGACACTAAAGGTGTGCAGCTAAAGCTCACTCGTTACAGCCCCTTAGAGCAGAGAGATGTCACTGGTCAGTCTGTTCAGTATCAATGCACTGTCGCTTTTGTAACAAAGCCTCTGAGAGCTGCCTGGTTTCCTCTGCACCAGTCTGTTCATGGAGAGAAACTTCTGGAACCCCCACGGCTCCTCAGTCTAGTGGGTCCGGCTCAGTGTGAACCAAGAACGGGAAGCTGAAGCCTGACGCACTCAGACGAGGGAGGGGGCAGGGATGTGTGGTGGGGAAGGTGATTAGCCGCTGAATCAAGTGGCTGACGAACTGGTGGATTCTCCGTCTCTTGATGTCTTCAAAACAAAACTTGACGATTTTCTAGAAAATATGCTCTGGGGAAATAAAGGTTTGTTGTGGGGTAACGGGATTAAGTACAATGGTTTGTGACACAGATGAGACCAGAGTTTCTAATGATTCCTTCTGACCCTGTGAATCTGTAATTTTTTAGGATCCCATCCAGTAAAAATTCAGCAGGTGTTTAAATTTAAATACCTGAATGGTCCCTGTGACCTCATCTGTGTTGCGTGGGGGGCTTGTGAAGTCTGTGTTGGGTTAATCCTGATGAGAGAGCCTAGGTCTGTGCTACAGTGACATGGAGGGAGACTAGGGGCCTTGAATACAGAAGCCTAAATTTAGACATCTACATCCATGTTCAGGCAGGGGACCATGCGGTTTGTGTATCAGAACCACTGGGCGCTCAGAACTGAATCCCATCGTGGCAGGTGCAGTGATGTTGAACTCGAGCCAGGTATTGAGAGAGAGGAATATGGATTTGGGATCTAACCTGTGTGTGCTGTTCATGGAATATCTCGACTCCAGCATTTGCCCAAAACGGCTGGGTCTGGCTTATGTGTCAACAGGGACAGCATCTGGGGAGAACGGGGGCATGGGAAGGATTAAAGCCCCTTCTGAAATGTCTCCATTTGCCCTTCTCCCCCGACAGGCTGCAGGACACCCATGTCTGTCTCCAGCTCAGCCCCGGGCCTGCAGAGCCAGGGACAGGAAATGGCCGCGGCGGGGCTAGTGACCTTCGAGGAGGTGGCTGTGTATTTCTCTGAGGAGGAATGGGCTCTGCTGGACCCCGGCCAGAGAGCCCTCTACTGGGACGTGATGCAGGAGAATTACGAGGCTGTGAGCTGGCTGGGTAAGGAGTCCTGTCCCCTGGGGTATCAGAAGCTGGGTTGGGTTTGGTTCAGGGTCCCTCATTGCTCTCTGCCCCCCAATATCCGGTAATCTTGGCTCCTGTGTGAGAGACTGTCCCCTCCCCACGCCCCCTTCCATGCGAAGCAGGTTCAAGGACATACCAGTGGTGCTGGGGGCTGTGGCTGAGGGAGGGTGGCTGCGCATGTCCAGTGCTTCCCTCCGCCCCCCGGCACTGCCCACACTCTTGGGAAGCCTGGGACAGAGAGGGGCTACCCTGCCACCTCTCTGCGGTGGGCATCCTGTGTACCCTACCTACCTGTGACCGTCAAGCAAGGAAGGGCAGGCATGGAGGGCGGCCCAGGCTGGGCTGGACACCCCTCCAGTCCTAGTGACCTGCCATGTCGCAGCTGCAGTCTGAGCCCTGCCTGGGGGCCTCGGTGTCAGCCCTGCCAGCCCTGGCCGGAGCTCCCCTGAGCAGTGTGATCCTGTCCCGCCCTGCAATGGGGGGTGGGGTGGTCCATGAGGGACACTGACTTGTATCCTAGAGAGTGTAGCACAGAGCTCAGCTCCCCTGGGGGATACGCTGGGCCGTTCCCGAGGTGGGGGGGCTGCACCTTTACTGCAGGTGAGTGTGAGATGGGATCTTTACCAGCCAGAGCCCCGTCTCTGCAAGGGGGGAGGAGCCTCTCTGGGTGGGCGACTCGGATCCAGGCTCTGGAAGCAGTAATGGCACAGACCTTAATGAACAAGATCTGCACTGGGTTCATTGCTCCCCGGGCAGGATTTCCAGTCTCCAAAGCTCTCGCGATCTCCTGGGTGGAGCGAGGGGAGGAGCTGCGGATCCCGGATCTCCAGGGCTCTGAGGAAGGGGGGCTCGGCAGTGACACCCGCACAGGGGAGCAATTGGCTAACCTGACTCAGAAACCAATTTCTGTGTCCTCATAGCTGGTGTCACTTCTGCATTATCATCAAGTGTAACTGGCCCGTCAGCTTTTGAGCTACTCCAACCAGAAGGTTTCGAGGGGAAGGGTGGGTTCTCTCCTTTGGGAAAGGCTTATGAGAAATGAGGATCAACTCAGCTCATGATTATTCCTCCTTTCCAGCCATTCTTTGGCTGTGTTCCCCCTTTCCTGTTCCCCTTTCAGCACAGAGACTGACTCCTGTCTGGATTCTCTCTCTCTCCCAGCAGGTGATGGGACGCTGCGTGAGAACAATGAGGAGAGCCTTCAGCAGCAAGGACCGGAGCCCGTGGCTCCAAGGGCCATGCTACAGGGAAGATCTGAAGGGCATGTTTCCCAGAGTCCCGAGCGGGGAGAGACCTGGGAGCATCGGTGTGGCCCAGAACGGCTGCAGGGAAACCATCCAGAGCAGAGACAGAGTAAAACCAATCACAGGAGGAGAGGAGAGAAAAGAAACACAGAAACGGTTCAACAGAAAATCCCCCATCAACACTCACCCTGCGCTTATAGCGAGTGTGAACACGAACGAACCCACCCTGGAGAGAAGCCCTTCAAATGCTCTGACTGCGGGAAATGCTTCAGTCGGCGCTCAGACCTTAGGAACCATCAGATATCACACACAAGAGAGACACCCCATAACTGCCCTGACTGTGGGGAAAGATTCAGTTGGAGGTCGCACCTTGTTACCCACCGGAGAATCCACACAGGGGAGAAACCCTTTGACTGCTCTGACTGTGGGAAAAGCTACAATCGGCGCTCCAGTCTTAATCTTCATCAGAGAACTCACACTGGAGAGAAACCTTTCAACTGCTCCGACTGTGGGAACAGTTACAGTTGCAGCTCAGACCTTATTACCCATTGGAGACGGCACACGGGGGAGAAACCCTTCAGCTGCTCTGACTGTGGGAAAAACTTCAGTCAGCGCTCAAATCTTATTAGTCACCAGAGAACGCACACCGGCGAGAAACCCTACGTCTGTTCTGATTGTGGGAAAAGCTTCAGTCAGAGCTCACACCTTGTTACCCACAGGAGAAGCCACACGGGAGAGAAACCCTACATCTGCTCTGACTGCGGGAAAAGCTTCAGACAGAGTTCACACCTTGTTGCCCACAGGAGAAGCCACACGGGGGAGAAACCATTCAGCTGCTCTGACTGCGGGAGGAGCTTCAATCAGCATTCAATTCTCGTTAGACATAAGAGAGCCCACACTGGGGAGAAACCCTTCAGCTGCTCTGACTGTGGGAAAAACTTCAGTCAGCGCTCAAATCTTATTAGTCACCAGAGAACGCACACCGGCGAGAAACCCTACGTCTGTTCTGATTGTGGGAAAAGCTTCAGTCAGAGCTCACACCTTGTTACCCACAGGAGAAGCCACACGGGAGAGAAACCCTACATCTGCTCTGACTGCGGGAAAAGCTTCAGACAGAGTTCACACCTTGTTGCCCACAGGAGAAGCCACACGGGGGAGAAACCATTCAGCTGCTCTGACTGCGGGAGGAGCTTCAATCAGCATTCAATTCTCGTTAGACATAAGAGAGCCCACACTGGGGAGAAACCCTTCAGCTGCTCTGACTGTGGGAAAAGCTTCTATCAGCATCCCCATCTTGTTAGGCATCAGAGAACTCACACAGGGGAGAAACTCTACTATCTGAGTTCCCGTTAAGCTGTGTGTCCACATCACAGCCTAGTAAATGCCAAGCCAGAGCTTAGGGCTTTGGTGGGGAGAGATGCCTCTACCCTCCGGTCTCAACCCTGGCCCAGACCTTCCAGCTGGCTGGTAGACAGTTGGCTATCCCAGGGCCCCAACCCCAAGGTTGTCATGGCCAGGAGAGGTATCCCTCTGTCCCTTGCCCACCAGCGGCACCTGAGCGGAGGGAGAGACAGCTGATGGGAGTCTGCTTTCCCCAAAGCAGCTTTTCACTGGGCGAGACCTTAAACCCCTCCATCCTTGAGATCACACCCCCAGCAGGAGATCACACCCTCACCCCTCCACACTTAAACCTGTATCTCCGCCCCTCACCCCTGGCCCCACCCCAGAGCCAACCCTCACATCCCTGATCCCCAACTCTTTGCCCCAGCCCTGAGCCCCCGTCCCACAATCTACATGGACTTTATTCTGTGCACCAACGTCGATATGATGTGTTGCATTCCCCCCCCCCCCCCCTATTC